TTCCTTAAGGTAATAATTATTTGATTTTTCTTTTAATAAACAAGTCAGTTTATCATTTTCTTCCATTTCCATCAGTTTTAGCCATTCTTGTATTGTTGGTAGTGTCTGGGTTTTCCAAAATCGTGCATACAAAAGTCTTGCTGCGGTAATCATGTATTTAATTTTTATTTAATGTTTTATTTTAATTACTGTGCCAGCATGCTTTTATTACAGAAACCGTCTTTTTAAAATCTTTTTCTTCTACCTTGATTTTTTTAAAGTATGCCACCTTGTATTGGTTTTAATTGTTGTTAGCTACCCTGAGTGATGCATAAGTACTAAAACAGCAGGATATGCACATTTATATTGATAAAATAAATGCCAACCTTTCCCAACCTGGTGATTTTCAGATGTGTTGGATGTCAGTTCCCCTAATCCCCACTTCGTATATCTTCAGATCAGGGAAGGCTTCCTAGAAGGAAGGAGGGAAGGGAAGGAAGGAACATCTGAACCACTTAACCAGAAATGCTGGAAACAAAGTACATGCAAAGTTACACATTATCTGTAGTTTTCCCTAGTTCTGTTATTTTTTAAAGTCTGCAGCCCAATATTTATGACTATAAATCCCAGTAGTCGCTAGCTGTACCAGCTTCCAAAATAAGTTTTTGCAGTACTGCAGTCAAAATAAAGAATGTAATCAGTGAAGGTGTGGAACAGAAGGGATCATGTAGTAAGAGGGAGGAGATCCTGACTCAGGGTAGAAAGTTGCTCTGCCCAGCCCTAGAACAGTGAATAGTCCTTCCTTGCATTTTCTGCTCCCAAATAGGCATAGAACTAAATCCTAGATGTTTCCATTTAGTTCTGTTCAATTTGGAGCAGCCTAATTAGGAGTTCAAATGCCAAGGGAAGAAGAACATAGGAAGCTGTAATTGCTTGGTCCCTCAAGTTCAGTACAGGTAGTCCTCACTTAACAACCACAATAGGGACCAGAAAATTTGTCATTAAGCAAGGCTTCACATGACTGCACCCAATTTTACAAATTTGTTGTGGCAGTTGTTAAGCAAATCACGTGGTTCCCCACTGAGTTTGCTTGTCAGAAGCTGGCTGGGAAGGTTGCAAGTCACGGTCAAGTGACCCCGAGACGCTGCAACCGTCTTAAGTGCAAGCTGGTTGCCAAGCACCCGGATCATGATCACATGACCACAGGGCACTGCAACAGTTGTAAGTAGCTTAGCGCCGTTGTAACTTCGAACGGTTGCTAAACAAATGGTCATTAAGCAAGGACTACCTGTATAGACTTCTGATTGGCAGCAGCAATCCAAGTTACAGGAAGTTTTATTTTCATGTTGTATCGAGAGATTTGAACCTGTTATACATTGCTTGGGAAGCATGTGGTCTTCTACAGCTATGGCTCAGCAGTATTTCCAAGTAGAAAGGATAGGTAATAAACTAAATATCCCACGTCCACATGGTGTTTCTAATGAGGCTTAGGGTCTATATTACACTTCATGATTTGCACTGGCTGAGATCCAAGAAACTGCACATTTACTCCTGTATGCCCCAAAGAAACTTTGACTTGTGTTTCTTAAACAGTAACCAATAGCTCTTCTCGGTCTCAGGTTAATTTAAAACCAATTGTTGAATTGGCTAGTGTCTTTGCTGTTCAAAAATTATCCCACAGAGGAGAGGAGAGGCTTTATTTTAATTTGTATTTATTTCTGCCCATACTTGTGAAAAGTTAGATCCTGGCTGCTGTTGCTTTCCAGTTTGAATATAAAAGATATGCTGAAAGAAGAGAAAACAAAAAGAAGCCAAATATTTAATCAAGGCAGCATTAGAAGGTTGAAACTTGGCAATGTATTGGGCTGCCCTGATCAGGAAATAGGTTTGTTTAACATTGAACGCAGAATCAACAAGTTCTGTCCGTGGTGGTGGTGGTGGTGGTAGTAATAGTACTTGATGCTATTATACTGCGTTATGCAGAGTAGCATAGCACAGTATTATTTTCTATACCAGTGTTCTTCCCAGAGGGATCCAGAACAGTTTATAAAAGACCAGTGAAAACAATTAAAACATCAACAGTAAAGCAAACAATTCTAAAATTAAAAGTTTAAAAGAGGACTTGGTTGAAAAAGCCCAGTCTAAAAGCAGTTAATATGCTGTAAGACACATACATGTGCTTTCCTCTTCTCCTGCAGTACGGAACGGTCCAGAAAGTGGCAGCAAAATCATGGTGCAATTCCCACGGTGCCAATGCAAAGATCTCCCTAAAAGTGATGTGTTGCAAGACAACAAATGGAACTACCTGCGTGGCCCCTTCAAAGAAGTCCAGTGGAACAAAATGGAAGGGCGTAACTTTGTTTACAAAATGGAACTTCTCATGGCCGCGCTGACCCCTTGCTCCTAGGTTAAGGGATCGTCCAGCGGGATGGTTCTAAGACCAGCATAAGCTAAGTGAAGGTTTGAGAACAGTGCGTACATTCCAGAAAGCAATCTGTTTCTGATTACTGATTTCTCTTCAGTGATACCTGACTGCATCTTTTATTGCATATGCTGTATACAGTCTGTCCTGCAAGTTCTGAATGTCCAATTAAACTGTGACAACTTCTGAAATAATTAGCCACATTACTTAAGTTCAGGTTTTATTAAATACTTTAAGGGAAACTTTGTACAAAGGATATCAAGTTTACATTTATGTTTTGCATACACTGTTACTTAAATTGCTTGGTTACATTTGAAAAATGTGTTAATATCATGTGAACAAGGGCAGTCCAGAATTTTATTTGGATCAAAAGAGTATTTTGCCAGAGCAATTATTGGTTTGGCTTGCTCAGGAGCAGAAATGGTGGCGTTATTGAAAAATCAGTTACAGGCTTGGGTAATGTTTATAACCATTTGCTAAAAATGAGAGTAAAAAGTTTGCAACCCACTCAGGGCTAACATCTGCACAGAATTTACGAGCAACTGCTAGTGAATTAAAAATTGATATATCAGTCTGGAGGAGGTTTCACGGGAAGTCTTAGCTATAGTGAACATGTTAATATATTTTCTAATTTTTTTCAAATGATGAATCAGTTTCACTCATGAAACACTTGCAGCAGCCAGAGATGAATACAGAGTCCTATTACATCTGGACAAAGTTTTTAACAATAATGGGACTGCCTTATGTGATCTCAGTCCAGAGATATATACAATTAGGAAGTAAAATGTCAAGAGAGGGATGGAAGTAAACATTAAAAATCCAGGTTAAGATCCAAACCCAACTTGGTAATAAGGATGCAATTAGGGGAAATACAAAAATAAATGGAATGTTTAACATTACTATCATCAAATGCTGGAAAGTTAGTGATACCACAAATTTCCAGATAATAATATTCTGTTGTTTTTTTTTTAAGAATCCATCAGTAACTCTTTGATGTTGGTGGTAGTTGGAACCTAAAACCATGATAATGTTTGTTTAAATATAATTTAATAAAGAATTGCAGCTTTTCTAAAAAAGAAAAAAAAGTCTTCGGCTCCCTGTAGTATTCAAGGCTTTTGTGGCTATGTTTCTGGAACATCCTCTTGTGTTCTGGCATCTTGATATTATCAGAGAGAATTAGGTGTCTTGTGAATGGGTGGGTGAAACAGTAGGAACAGTGAGTCTTTTCTTGAAATGTGTCCATTATAAATTATGATATGGAAAGGACAGCATCTCCCAAAGTTTCCATGGATCACCTTTGTGGGCCTTTGCCTTTTTTGCTTCAGAAAATATCATTTAACAAAATCGATATGCCCAGTCTTTTATATACCAACCATCATGTTTTTCATGCTTTGCTTCTTCTTGAGGTAGAACACTGATTTGTGTCTTTAAATATCCTACAGCTAACACCCCATTGTTTGTAGCTCGGTCTCTTCAGTTTCGCTTACTGTAAATGAAAGGAGAACACTGTTGGTGAAGATCAGATGGCAAGGGAGCGTTCAGAAACAAAGACCTAGTTGGACTGATTGTACACTAACTTCTTGAGTGTAGTAGAAATGCATGGAAAATTAGTGAATGAAGGACTAGAGTTGACAGGACTGGCTATACTCTGGATTGTATTGCTTTCCAAATCTCTACTGATTAATTCCAACTCTTTAATTTCCTTCCAGTTGAGATCAGGCCTTCAATTTCTGCCTTTAGTACAGATTTTTTTTAAAAAATGTGGAAGCCACGTCAGTCATTATATTCACTTCTGGCCCAAAACATAAACCTTGCATATACATAACCACATGGAATACACAACCCAGTGTTGTTCTCATTTAGTATATGAAGTCCTGCTATATTTTCTGATCTGCTCTATTGTTAAGAGAGGGCTGCAGGAAAAACCGTGGAAAAGGGAGGAGGGATGAAGTTAAGGCTTTTCCAGACTTCTCAGGGGTCTCCCACATGGGAAACCTGGCCTCTCCCATGGAAAGAAAGGCGGGGGGGTGGCAAACACATGCTAGAAGAGGGGGGCTCCAGAATAGAGACTTTATCAATTCTGTAGTGCTGGGGGTGGAGGTAGGATTATTTACAAGGTAATTGATTTTGGGGCCTAATTCTCGTGACAGAAAAGATCCCAGTGTCTTCAGCTGACCTCTTTGGAAAAGAAATACTGAAGGTGCTTGAAAGAGACAATACTGCCTTGTGCAGAAGAATAAACGCCAGCTTTAAAAGAAAAGCAGTCTTGCTGGGTTGTCTGCAAAAAAGTCAATTAGGACTCCCACCTTGACTTGATTTTCCAATTCCCAAGGAAGGCCTTGCCAAAGATTTTACATATTTGAAAATGAGGGATCTAAAATGGTTGGAGGTGCTTTTGTTTTTCATTCAGGCCACCTGCAACCATCTCAGTGCTCAGTGGAGCCTAACCTGAACATTTGCTCTGCCTGAACTTTTGAGGGATGACCCCCTTTTTGAGGATTCTCAAGCCAGCAGCAAAAATTCTGGCTCAATGAATAGTCAGGAATTTCCTCCTGACATCTAGCCTGAACCTCCTCCTCTGTAGTCTGGAGCCACTGGTCCTTCTTTCTGGGGCAACAGAGGATAAGGCAGCCTGCCATATGTTTAAAGACTGCTAGCATATCTCCCCACAGTCATCTCTTCCGTAAGCTAAATATATCCCAATTCTTTAACTGTTCCTTATAGGTTTGGTTTTAAAAAAAGCAGTTTCTTCTTGAATGGTAGGAGAAACTTCTACAATACAAGAAGTTTGACAGTGGAAGCAATTACCCAGAACAGAGGGAGGTTTCCATAGCTGTTTATGATGCTTTGATTTGGATTCCTCCTTGAGGGTGGACTCATGGTCTAAATCAATGTTTCTCAGCCTCAGCAACTTTAAGATGTGTGGACTTCAACTCCCAGAATTCCCCAGCCAGCTTCTCAAAGTTGCTGAGGTTGAGAAACACTGGTCTAAATTGTTTCTTCCAAGTCAGTGATTCTAAATAGCTTCAAGGCAAAGAGATGCAGAGCTTAGAAATCAGGGAGAGGAAAGAAGGAGTACAGGAAGCGAATGGAGCTCCCCCCCCCCTTTTCTACTGCCTGAATGTTGAACTGTTTTTGGTCTTTGGACCTGTCATTTTTGCATGCTGGTGTATTTACCTAAGAGTGAATATTCACTGGCAGATGTTTATTTTATATTTATTTATAAATCAAACTTGTATGCCAGCCATCTCACTATACAAGTGACTCTAGGTGGCTCACACATAAAAAGCATAGAAACAGTTAAAAACACAAAACAAAATTAAAAAGACCGCAAATGCAGTTGAAAAGTGGAGAGAGCATCCTCAGGGCACCAACATCCCCCAGTGTCAGGAGTCCCCATTAGATCTCCAAGCCAGTCGACAGAGAGAGGTCTTAAGGCTCTTCTGAAAGGCCAGAAGACTGGGGGCCAATCTGACCTCGGGGGGCAAGATATTCCACAGAGCGGGGGCAGAAAAGGCTCTCCTCCTAGACTCCGCCAGCCGAAATTCTCTAGCCAACGGGGTCTGCAACATGCCCTTCCTGCTGGACCGGGTGGCACAGGTCAATGTAACTGGGATGAGGCGGTTCTTCAACAAACCTGGGCCCCTTTAAAGGTCATAACCAACACCCTGAATTGGACCCGGAAGCAGACTGGCACCCAGTGCAGCTCACACAGCAGAGGTGTCATATGCGCAGTCCTGGGGGCACCCAAAACTCCCTGCGCTGCCACATTCTGTGCTAGTGCAGCTTCCAGATACTTTTCAAGGGTAGCCTCATGTAGAGCGCACTGCAGTAGACCATGCGGGAGAAGACCAGGGCATGAGTGGCCAAGAGAAGGGCTTCCCAATCCAGGAAGGGATACAACTGGCACACAACATGGAGTCAAGCAAAGGCTCTCTTGGCCACGACTGCTACCTGCTCCTCAAGCAGGAGTTGTGAGTCCAGGAGGACCCCCAGACTGCGCACCAGGTCTGTCTGGGTAGCGCCACCCCATCCAGAACCAAAGATGGTAAAACCCCAGATACGTAGGAGCCCAGAACCCACAGCCACTCCATCAGTTTTGTTCTCCATCTAGACCCCCTGGAATTAGGCATTACACAAAGCCACTGTGGCATTTGCTTTCAGCTTAGGGTGAGAAATGAATCCCAGTCAGCTGTGGCTTGTTCAGCAACGAACAATCAAAAGAGATTCTGCAAACAATCTGCAGATGGGAAAAAAAGATAAAAATCCCATAGGAAGCCTGAGTCAAAAATAATTATTGAAAGCATGCATTTTTTTTTTTTAATGGCACTTCTTCCGTAAGTATTTTTACTCAAGCATCCTATGGGATCTTTTCTTCTTTGTTGGCTCATTCAACAAGATTAAAGCAAATCATGATCCAGCAGAATGTTTTCTCATTTAAAAAAAAAGCCAAAGCTAAATAAACCACGTATCATGCTAAACCATGGTTTTCTCAATTATGTTTTATTACATTAATTAGAGTTAATTATCTCAAACGGAAGCCATGGCTGGATTCACACAGCATGCTTGTCAAAAACAAAGAAACAGAATAACAAATAACTACATTTTAAGAGAGTTAGTTTGGTATAGTGGTTAAGGCACCAGGCTCAAAACCGGGAGACTGTGAGTTCTAATCCCACCTTAGGCACGAAGCCAGCTGAGTGACCTTGGGCCAGTCATTCAGCCCCAGGAAGCAGGCAATGGCAAACCACTTCTGAAATCTTGCCAAGAAAACTGAAGGGACTTGTCTGGAGTCAACACTGACTCAAAGGCAAACACACACACACACATTTTAAAAGGCATCCTCTGAAGGTAAGAAATGTGAACAGGAAACTTTAGCACAACAAAACCCAGCAAGAAGACTTGGGATTTTCCTTCCCTAATCGGGAAAGAGAGTCTGTGATGTTAAATGAGCATTACCTCTGAGTTGCTGCCTCTCTGGTTGCAGAAAGTGCATAGATTTATTGCACAGCCACATCAAGCAGATCAGAACAGCGGACGCAGTACCGAGAAAGGCAGAGACGACAACCACAAAATGCAAGTCTTCGTACAGAATTTCTAAGGAAGGGAGACACATAATGCAGTAAGGTTGGACCACACAGATGCATCAGCTACACTTAAGCTGCTGGGAAAAGCAATTCCGGCCTTCCATCAACCTTCCTTGATTTTTCTTTGCCATTTTTTTTCTCCCTCTCTCTTGCACCACACACACACACACGTACCCACTTTTTCCTCCTAAGACTTCAAGGAACAAGAAAATAATTATATTTAAAAAATTAATACAGAAGGGTTAGCTTTGAGCAGATGTTGGCCCATGCTGTTTGCTTTACTTAGAAGTGTATGGGTTTTGTAGATACAGTCCTGGATTAATATTAGGGTTATAATATTGTAAGTGAGAGACAGAAATTCCTGGAACATTCTTGGTCTCTAGGTATCTGCCTACGGTCATCTGCAGAAGTAGGTCAAAATTTGCAAAATGGTGGGCGTGGTATAATCAAAGCCCTGCCCATGTATGGAATAGAAAATTCAGATGCTCGCCCCCACCTCCAGAAAGTCAGTGACAGGGGCGTCCACACAGTATAGTCAAAAAAGTCAAGATGGTGTCTGGAACAATGCAACTGAACCTCTGTCTACAACTCTCTGAAATTCTTTTTTAAGTTCCTTCCTGAGATCTCTGTCATTGTTGGCTTTGGCTTCTCTTTTCATCCTGGCAATTTCCATGGTTTGTTCCGAAATAAAAAACAGCGCTTCAATCACACCACCACCACCACCATCTTGACTTTTTTGACCACACCCTGTGGACATCCCTTTGTTATTTCACCAAGGTTTGGCAGCAGAACTGTTATCACTGCCTTTCTGGATGAGCAACTATTGTTATGATTATTGTTTTGGAATATCTCATTTCTGGTGCACATAGTCATTTATACTCCATGTTTCTGGTTTTAATTTTTGGTTATTGTGTATTTGTGTTCACCCAAACTACACATTTGTATACCACTCAGGACCAGCTGATTGGAGCAGACCTATAAAGCCCTGTAAATAAATTAAAAATAACTAACACTGGCTATCAGATCAAGCCACTATTTCCCACCTAGCTCTTGGTCTACTAGCTATCATGCTGGGAATTTACTTCCGATAGATGGACTCTGAAGTTCTATTAGAAAGTAAAGCTCATAAATCTGAAGAGGGCCCACGTCTGCTAAATTTGGGCATCGGACATTAGAGAAAAGATGAGGTCCTTTCATTCCATACCATAAACATTCAACAGGATGGTGCCATATATGATGATTCCCAACTCGTCTCTCACCGTGACTAAGTAATAACCGGCGTCTTTAATAGCCACCTTCAGCAGCTGCAGAGAGCCATTTTCATAAATGTTCACTCTGTCTTTGTAACTGCTGGATATGTTGGCGTAAATGCCAGGCTTCCATTCTGCTATTTTCGTTGTACCACTTGCTGATGTGTGTTTCCACTCAATCACTGGGCTTGTCTCACCAGTGTAGGCTACTGACAGCAAAACGTTCTCAGCCACGGAACTATTGATGTTCGGTTGTGATACTAGTAAGGATATTTCTCCTCCTTGAGCTGAAAAATCAAACAAGAGGCATTACGGTAAAGCAAACTTCACCAAGTGAATGTCCCCTGTCAGTCTGATGACCCATTTAAGTTTTTCTCTTTTTGTTTTTTTGGACTAAAAGGCTCATCTTCATATCCCTTTAACCATGGCATGAAGATATCCACAAACCATTTTTAAATACTATGTCTTCAAGTCATTGCCTTCATCTTGTCCCCAACTTGCTATGGAAAAAACAGAACATCATGTTTATCAGTTTCAGTTTTATAGTGGTTTTCTTTCTTTTTTGGACATAGTTTTTGCTGTGAATACAATCTATGATGCTTCCTTGGTGACGCAGTATCAGGGTTTCTCAATCTCAGCAACTTTAAGATGTATGGACTTCCACTCCCAGAATTCCCCGGCCAACATGGGAGTGGAAGTCCACACATCCAGTAGATGTCCACACTCCAGTAGATGATACTGTCAAGGGGTGGGTTCTACCCAACCATTGGCTACTTTAGGTTACTGCTGGCCAGTCCCTAACTTTAGATGCCAGGGTATTCTCCTCTATCACCATCTGCTTTTTGTTTCAGGAGAACCTGGAAAGTCAATCAACAACTCCACAAGAACTGATTGGAGGCCAGGGCTTCGTTTGTGTGTGTGTGCATGTGCACAGGCATGAAGGATGATAAAGATTTTATCCTGTGGATCTTGACTAGGGGAAAGAAAGGGCTACCCAATAAGCAGGGAGCCTATGCTACCCTGTGGATCATCAGGAAGGAAGGGCTGAAGCAGTGGGAAGGTCCTATCACAATCTGAATCTGCTATGCGGGCACCTGAAGCATCTTCCCGGATAAAGTCTGATGATTTTTATTTATTTAATATATTGATTTATATAGCCACCCATCTCGCAATGGTGACTTTGGATGGCAAACGTAGGAGTGAAAAGTATCAAAACAAAAATAAGGAATAAAAACACAAAGAACAATGACACCTGAGGATAATGACAATCAAATAACTGCAATCATGCCAAAGAAATCCTTCTTTCATGCCCAGGACACATGTCACATCAACAACAACAGGTTACCCAACCATGTTTCCCTGAAAAAGAGCAGTAAAGCTCTACTGCTTTTTTCATACCTTGTTGCTGTGATAGGACCTTATTGGCTAAAGTAGGAAAAGCTAGCTGGGTCCAGGAATAGAAAGATCATCATAAGACTATTTATATTCTGGGCTGGAGGAAAGAAAAGGGCTGTAGTGTTTGATCAACGAATGAAAGAACAGGAGTTGCCATGCAGAACAATGCCAATGTAAACTGCAAGTAAGAAAGCCACCCCAACCAGCATAGTTGGTAGTTCTTTGGAATCTAGCTAGACATAGCAATACCCAACTAAGCAGAGTTGGTCCTGGTTAGTAACTGGGTGGGAGAGACTAGGGAATCTCAGACTGGGAAGCTGAAAAAACATTCTGGAGGAAGGCAATGGTAAACCACTTCAAAATTGTTGCTAAGAAAACTACAAGGATGTTTTTGTGCTCAACTTGAAAACCTTTGATCAACTTCTACTTATAAGGGCTATTGGAATGGAATGGAATTCCAGCCATTGAATGACCTGGAGAAATCTGCTCTTAAATCTCCTATTGAGGATAACATGGTTGTGTACAGGAGTTGACAAGGGCCAGATTTGCATGTCTCCTGAGCTTAGGTAATCGAATAAAACTTTGGAGCTGGAAAGACTCACACACAAAGTGTGCTGGGGGAGCCGGTCTCTCACGCTAATATCCATTAGAAGATTTTTTTGCACAGATGAATTCACTGACGTTGCTTTCAGTTTGTCAGGAAGGGTTGAATATGAAAATAAAATTATGAAAGGTTGGCTAGGAAAGTAAAATTAATTTTTATGAGCATATTGCACTGATGGATTTCTGACACCAAATCCTGTTGTTTCTGGTAAACGTGGCCAGGATTGAATAAATATGGAACAAAAACAATTCTGCAGGATTTTTTTCAGAAGTGCATCTTCACCATCAATGGAACAAATAGCTCCAGATGTTGTCAGACGTGATTTCTCACTCCATCCACTTGACTCATTGTTTCGAATTTAAATCTTATTTAAATTAGGAATCACTATGTTTCTAGAGAACATGAACTTGTCAGATTAAGTACTGAGACGAGGGAAGCTTCTCTTAATGACTCATTTGCCTGCCAATAGATCTGTAGGATGCACAGGAAAAGAACAGGGAGGCCGCATTCCAGGCTGCGTTCTCTGCAAAAATGAGTTGTAATTCTCTACCTCCAATTGCAGAACAATACTTTTGTGGTACCAAGTGCCACAGAAAGAAAATACGCAAACAATCGTAATTAGTCTATCAGGAAAGAACAACAACATAATTCCTTTGCTAAAGGACAAAGCATGCTACCTTTATTGTAAGATTACAGTAACAGAAACTTGCAAGACTGAAAATATTTTTCCCCTCCTTTCCTTTTACTCTCTAGAAAACTAAGGAGGGTTCCTTCTGAAATGCTTTCCACGCCCCTTTTCCTTCTGTGGGCTGAGAGACCTTTTGCATGATGGTAGGCTGTGGCTCTTCCCCGTCTCTCAAGATCAGTGTTTCCCAACCTCAGCCACTTTAAGATGTGTGGACTTCAGCTCCCAGAATTCCCCAGCCCACATGTGGGCT